TCACTGCTGTTTTTCACTAACGGTGTTTGCCTTTCGCTGGACTGAGTAGCATTGTTGCTAGAGAGCTTTTGCCTTTTAACAGGTCGGGGATTCGGGCTACGTAATGCACTAATCTGCAACTCGAGTTCTGAGATTTCCCTCCCAATGCTGCGATCAGTTCCTTTTGGTCTGCAGACGTAACAGTCAATGCTTCACACCTTAAGTTTTTGAACAATCTTAATTATCGGACTATTTGAACACATGTCACAAAACCACAAGCTATCTGTCGATACAATGTTAAATTCGTTAAGTGTAAAGTTCACATTTGTCGCGTCAAATGAATTGGCACAGAACGAACACGTGATTTTCGAGCAGACTTCAGTTCCGCGGTTGTCTGAGCTACGGTTGACCTTAGATTTGTTGCTCACTGGATTCCCGGTTGACAAACTTCTCCGGCCCATGAATCAATGGTCGGTGTGCACTTTTAGGTTGCGCTGGTCACGTCGTTTGGCTGCCCCAGTTGCCTGCTTCAGTCAGCGCGTTTGGATGGTGCGTCACTAGGCGCACGGGTAGGCAAAATCACACAGGCTTTGTGCAGTGAAATGCACGTAAAAATATGGTGGTAAGGTGAGATGACAAAAATGCTTGTATCTATGGTATACCCTGGTGCACAGTACTAAGTTATATATTGTCTGACAGCCTTAAAAAAGATCTGTCGAATGGTATCCCGAAGGTACTGATGAAACTCAAATAACCAAAGTTACTCAAGTTGGCCTTGGTGAATAGACTTCCGAAGACTTAATTTGTGGTGTACCAGCGTATAGTTGGACTTACTTCAAAAATATAGACGCCGTTGGATAGAGCTCAGTGATCCGAATCGATTGAGCGTACGTCCGAAGATGTGGTACAAGAATGTGAAGGGATACGTCCAATTAAACACAGAGCACAGGATTGCACGATTAGCACACACACGCCGACAAGGTCATTCAAGGAAGTGAGTGTCCCGGCTAACTGCAGCGAATCGATTATAGTGGCAATATACAAGAAGGGAGGTCACAGAGACTGTTCTAATCACAGGGTTATTAGCCTAACGCCAGTTGTGACAAAACTACTGGCCTTGATTCTCGTTTGTCGCCTCGCTGTTGAACGGCAATCTCGGATTAGGGAAGAGCAGACAGGTTTCCGTCTAGGACGGTGCTAAATAGACAATATATTCACTCTGCGGCAGGTGCTAGAGCAGCGCCACGCATACCGCAGACCGACAATAGCTGTGTTCCTCGATTTCAAGAGTGCGTTTGATTCAGTCGATCGATCGATTCTGTTCGAAATACTCATAAAGAAAAGTGTTCCCATGAACTATGTGAACATCATGTTTGCTCTGTATTCGAACACAACAGGCCGCATCAGGATCTATGGTGACTTGTTAGATGCCTTTCCGATAACAAGTAGGGTTCGTTGTGATTGTCCAATTGACCTTTTTAGTACAATGTTGTCTTGGACTGCAATATGGAGCCTTACCTAGCGTAATCTCATGGTACAGGCGTTGATGTGTTGCCTGGTGAAAAGTTAGTTCATCTTGACTATGCGGACTATATCGTCTTACTGTTTAAAAATGTTGGAGCGGCGCAATCCAGCCTAAATAACCTCACTAGAGTGACCCTAATATTTTGCATGCGCATCACACCCTTAAATGCAAAGGGTTGCTGCAGGACCACCAGCCACTTGATGACCCCTTGACCCTTGATAATAGTGAAGTATACGAAACAGTTGATCAATTCACTTACCTTGACAGTTGCATCAGCAACCATGGGCGCATAGCAACTGAAGTCAGTTCACGCATCACAAAAGCCTTAATTGCTTTTTTGAATCTGCGGCATCTTTGGCGACAGAGAGGAGTTTCCCTCCGTCTGAAAGGCCGTGTATATATGGTCACAGTGAGGGCCATCCTGCTCTATGTTAGTGAGATTTGGCTCCTTCGGTCGGAAGATCTGAAGCGCCTTCAAGTCTTCGAACATCGCTCTCTGCGGAGCATTGATAGTATCGAATGGCACCAGCGTGCCCGCAATGATGATGTCCGTAGGCGAGTACTAAGTAGTGATAATCATGCTAACTCCCTAGAACAACAGATAGCACTGAATAAGTTTCGTTGGCTTGGGCATGTACTAAGTATGTCCGGTCAACGAGTACCGAGGAGAGCCTTGTTTTGTCTGCCAGTTATAGGGTGGCGCAAGTCTTGATATAGACAAACGTTAACTTAGCAGCGGGAAATGAAGTCACTGGCGACCATCAGTCCGTATCCTCTTTCAGGCCGGAGTCCACGTGACTCGCTCTGTGCCTGGCTCGACTTTACAGGACATGACACGCACTCGACACCAGTGACGTTTCGGCCGCCCTCTCCCAGTCGGACTGCCTTCTTAACGTGTGTATAGTGTTGAGTTATCTGAAGAGTAATGGCTGATTATTATACGGGGCAATGAAAGGCGCAAGAAATCTGTGCCGCCGATGCCGCCTTATCTTTGCAAGATAGCCAGGTGTTTGTGAGGGTGAGAAGGTGTAGGCGCCTTGACCTTAAGTGTCTGTTTAAGGAATTAAGGTTTTCCGGCAAGTCCCCCGTCTCTTCCGCCTATTGTTCTTCGTTCCGCAGGTCATTATGGTTGCATTGCACCGAAGCATCAGTTCAAATGGCTGAAGTACTGCTGCGGACGATGACGGCAGCTCGTGCACCGCAAATGTACCTAAGCAAATAAATAGATAAGAGATGATTCGTCGCAGTTAGCAACCAGCCAGTCGGAATCCCCCATATCTGGAAAAGCCGTTTTGTCCTACTGGTATCCGTCAGCAGTGCGCATCCTCTGAGATCACTATGAGCCGAACGCATGACCGTTCAAAACCAGTTGTGATGGCACTAGACCATGGGCAACGGTGTCAGACCGAAATAGCACGACTCATCTTCCACTATCATGCAAAGCACGAACTTTGCGGAGGACGAGATCGTTCCAGTGGCAACGAGTTCCTGCTCAGCGTGTGTGTGACACAGAATTGAGAATATGTCTGGTCGAATTTTGAACTATTAGTGGCCTGATGGAATAAGTCGCCATGTCGGTGGGTCACTGGAGAGGATCTTGGTGGAGTTGGGCGAATATGGACCACTGTCAAGTCGCAATGTGGCAAAACGGCCGTCAAGCGATTTTCAGATGTGTGAGGAGAGCTAAGTGCGACGAAGTATCTTTAAGTGACATTCAAAATTCCTAGTGAATATGTATACTATAAAGAGGTATCCGAAGCGTTTATTCTATAAGTAGACATCCGACGGTCCTTGCAAATGATCTGGGCACAAAGAAGCTGCATTATCTTTCGTTGTCCATACAATGCACTGCTCCGATTATGTATCCACAGAAGTGATACAACTAATCAGGTAAGTGAAAGGGGCGATCGTCGTTTCGAGTGGTTGTTCGGAGGTAATGAGAACCGTTTGGAAAAATGAAAAGTAAAGCCATCAGCGGTACGCCGGTACGCAGTACCGACACTTAGCTGCCCCGCAATCACCACCAGTCGCACGTGGGCTAGGGATACTGCGAGGGTCGCCTTGCGCCTACGCAGGCTCGAAACCGCGCCGTCGGGTTACAAGACAAGCTCGTTACCTTCAGGCTAAAGGCCGGCGAGAACCGGTTGGTGTGTCAACACAATATGCTAGTGGTACCTTGAATGCTTAAAGTACGAAATACGTGTTAAAAGGGGTGTATGCAGTGCTACACGCAAAGCAGCTAAGCCCGTTTCCGGAATAGTTACCTTATGCGATCTTTGCTGCCCGGTCGAAACCAACTACTGACAAGTAGACAGATCCACTTCACCATCACTTAAATAAGTTAAAAGGAACAAAGAACGGGCCTATAAATGTGAATTGACTGACTGTGTCAAATAACTCTCTTTAGAAGTAAACGCTAGGCTTTCACTATTAAGTAATTCACACGTAAAAGCTGTTTTATGTCATGACCTGTGGTGACCTTTAAAGCATCCAGATGTCAAAATTCCAGTGAGCAACTTGGTTCTGAGTTCTATCATTCTCCTTGCACCAATCTCTTTGCCTTCATTCTATGGCTCTAACCCAACCATAGCAGCCCAACACTTCGAAATCTACCGGGATCTTAAAGAAGGCTAGCTGGCTCGATAATATCTCACCAATGGTTCTGACACACTTTCACTGGTTACCTACATGGTGGTATGCCCTTGTCAAAGAAAGAATCTCTGAAATTCTGTCCGATCGTTTGTACATCCGTCATGTTAACAGTCCTAGAGCGACTACTTGCGCCGACACTCGTATGTCCCGACACGCCCTCGTTTATCCCACACTCATGACAACACACCTGGTACACAACGGCCCCGATTTATTTTGTTTGACTGTGAGGACTGTGTTATGTGAAGGCTGTCATAGGTTGAAGCCTCGAGACTGTAAAAGCACTCTGACAAAGGCCTGGTCCCTCTATTTCTTGGGTTTGAGTAAGTCAGTGGTGAACACTCGAATCGCACAAGCACGAGAGACAATTCGAACAAGATCGTGACGTTTGATTTCGGGGTGGCACTTACGGGGACAGTGTCATCCATTCCGACACGATGAGTTTGCGAAACGGACTTAGCAAGTGTGAAAAACACAGTCTTGCAGTACTCTGACTGAGACCGGCTGTCGTAGAGTTTTGAGGTCAGAATATATTTCAAAGATGAGCGACGTGCTTGTTTAGTGGATTACTCATAAGTTGTTCGTTCATCGACCCCGTACCATCCCATAGGCACCGCATGCATTCTGTTCCTGTTCATAGTAGAAGTTCCAGACAAGTGAAGAAACTAGTGTCGGCGTCGTATTCAGATTGGTTTCAACTACAAAGCGCTTGATGATTGCGGACACAAATTCAGAGCAAATGTTTAGTATGTAGTAGAAGATCTATGGGTCATGCTGATGTGTCAACCGCTCTGATCCGGTAACACACATCACCACAATGACGCATCCGTGATTACGTACTGCTGTATCAAGGAGAATACCCACCTTTTGGAACCAAAAGTGCAGAAGCCGGATTCCTTTTCCGCGGAATTGCAAGTTGCGAAATGCGTGCGGGAATGTGCGACCCGCATGATTTTGGCCTGGACGGTGCACCTAGGGGACTGCACGCTAAGCTGCGTTCCGATACGGCTGGGCGTGAAAAGTCACCGTATTCGATTGGCGTATGTGTTGATGACTCGGAAGTCGATGAACCGTGATATCGGTTTTCGTGACTCGCTATTCGACCTCTCTGTGCCAAAGAGTTAAGGAGGTACGAATGTTAGTAGAGCAACTTCATGCAAGTGGAAAAGTTAGGTTGACCGTTAGAGACAATGTACATTCCAGACACGACAACAACGAGTGCAAAAGAAAAAGCTATTGCTTCATTTACGTAAACCAGTATGAGGGCAAGGGTATGGACCAGAGTAAAAATGAAGGTTAGATGCATCTCGCTCAAACACTGGACCTTCCGACTGGTTTCATGCTATTGTGCACTCGTGAGATGGAGACAGCAAGACTGCAACTCAAATCCCGGGATTGAAAATTACCATCCAAAGCCTTTACTCCTGAGCCACAAAAACTCTGCTAATGTTCGTAACACTTGTAAATTATTCCGAAGCATCCAATGTGTGCGAAACTGGTAGGGAAATACGAGAGGTATTCAAAAAGAAAAAGAACTTTTGCCATGACATTTTTATTGCTTATTGCACAAGGTTTTAAGCATTTTACCTTCAAAGTAGTCCTTTTTATTGGCAATACATCGTTCCCAACAGCACTTCCATTTTGCAAAAGCGTCCTGGGACGCACTTTCTGGGATGGCGTGCAGATCTCTTGTCGCACTGTCCTAAATCTTTTCAATGGTTTGGAAACGACGTCCTTTCAATGTGTGGGAAACAGGACAAAGTCTGTAGGGGCTAGGTCCGGAGAATACGGCGGATGAGGCACAACGGGAGTGCGATGATTCGCTAGATAGCTGCGGACAAGAAGCGATGCGTGAGCCGGCGCACTGTCATGGTGTAACATCAAAGCTTGGTTTTCCCCACAGTTCAGAGCTATTCCTACGCAAGGCATCCCACAAATGCATTAGAATTTGACGGCATGATCCTATGCTGATGCCCACTTCGTCAGCAAACCAGTGAACAGTTAAACGACGATTTCCACGGATGACAGCACGAACTCTCTCGACATGGTCATCGTCTGTTGATGTGGAAAGTCGTCCAGGCTTGGGATCGCTATCGACCGACATTCTGCCGTGTTGACAAAACTTAAACTACTTACAGCACTGCGTTCGACTCATACAGTCCTCCCCGTATGATTGGCTAAGCAATTGAAATGTCTCTGTAAACGTTTTGCCAAGTTTGTAGCAAACTTTAACATGCACACATCGTTCTTCCAGTTCTCTCATTGTCTCCTTGGTACTAGTCCGACGAACAGCTTGAGAACACGCTCACTCCAGCAGCTATAGCTCCATAACCAAAAGTCAGAGCGAAATGCGGCAAACGGCAGTGTGTTGTCTAAACAAGTCTGCATGCGCGCTCAGTAGCTGCTCCCTCAACAAGTTGCGAGCCGGCAACAGTCAAATTCAGCGTAATTAGATACTGTGCGAACACCGAGTTGATTGTGATTGCGCGGCGTCATCATCATCATTATACATGTCCGCTAGAGGTGGTGAAATACCTCCGCTATTGTACCGCAATACATAAAGGAAATACATACATACATATAAAACATAAAGGGAAAAATAAATACGACAGTTGCATGCCAGCTGAGCTACCAGCAACGGATAGGCATCGTTCCGGCAAGCTACTAGCCAGCTACTAGGAAAAAAAAAATTATTATGTTTTACCCTACGAAATGAGATCGTAGATGGAGGGAGAGGCTAAAAGGGATGGGGAGAGACAAAGAAACTCACAGCACGAACGCCACTGAGGTCGGCTCCTTGCCATGTCAGCAAGTGTATCCAGCCAAACGTGTTCACCGTCTTTCGGACCGCAACCAGGGAGCCGAGACGCTCCAACCGAGGCCAGCTCAGATGTGAGGGTCTTCATTCCTCTCGACCAAGTCATCGCTTGGCCACCCCTCCTCTTCGTCTATCCACACCCCCGGCGCGCAAACAACATACCTCGCGGGAGTCGGTGGGCTGGCATGCGTAACATGTGGCCGAGCCATTGGAGCCTGATGCGTGAAATGTCCGTGCTGAGCCGTTCAGTTCCTTTTCCTGTGCCGTAAACAAGGCGTCGAACACGCTCGTTGCTCACGCGGTTTTCTCACTAGATGTGAGCTAATTTGCGAAGGCACCGGTGGTTGAACGTAACTAGCCTCTTCAGGTCCGCGGCTTTAAGCGGCGAGGTTTCACAATCGTATAGCAGGGTCGAACGTACTGCTGCATTGTACACTCTACCCTTCAGGGCAAGAGTGATCTCGCGGCGGTGCCATAGGTGGCAAAGGTTGGCAAAAGCACTTCGGCGCGGCGTAATCTCTACGAAATGACACCCTAATATTATGTTGCTCTCCAATAATCAGGAAGAAAGTTTTGACCGCGATCAAGAAATGAGCATTCAGATACCCGTGGTTACATACATACATACGTATTTCGATGCTGTACGTTCACTGGTTGACCCTCGCTAACTGGCCTGTAACATCAGTTACATCCCATTGGTTTGTGTTCGTTGTTCATATGATCCACGCATGCAGAGCTCAAAGATATACTGGATCTTGTGGTTGCCATCACAGATAGACTGCACGTTGGCGTCTGACTGGCTAGTCGACACAGCTGTCTGTGTTGCTGCCATGCTCTCCTCAGGCGCATACCATCCACTTGCCGTAGGGCTGACCAATCCCATTTTCCACTTGCACACAGCGTACGGTTTCTCCAATGTGTTTGGATTGGTTCGATGCGCAGTATCAGTCCTCATGAGTAGCGTTTGGCCGGTCATTCGTCTGATGCTTCTTCGGTTTACCGTCTGCCACAGCTACGCGCGATGCTACAATATTCTCAGGCGTATGCCATCCAATAGCCGTAACGCCAATCAATTCGCTTTTCCTCTTTTAGCTGGGTCGGACCAATCGTGGGTGATGGGCTTTCGTCTGATTCGCCCCAGTTCATCGGTACGGCATCGATTCCATCCGCCCTCGGTCTCAGCCACCACCATACCTAACAACGACTGAAGTTACTCATGAGTAGAGGATTTTGATGGAATTAAGGGAGGTTCATCGCAGCCAGTTTCCAAAGCAGATAGTCCTTCACATGCCCGGAAAAGCACTAGGCTGCAGTTTCAGCCAGTTGGGCATCGTCAGTAGTACGCATCCATCGAATCCATCAGGATTCGAACCGATGACCACCAGCGGTTTGAACCGCCAGTCAGCAGCTTATGTCACTGGGCCGCGGGGGACAGCTTCGGACCGTCATGATTTACAAGCTAATTGCGATATAGCGCGTCTTCTCCTCCACTGCCATGCAAGTTACAAGCGTTGCAGAGGACAGGGTTGGTCCCGAAAGACACCACGTCCACTAACAGTGGCTATGTACGACAGCATTTAGAAACTGTCAGGGCGGATATATTTCGATGTACTCATGAGTAGGGGGATTTTGAAACTGGCTGCGATGAACCTCTCTAAATTACATCAAAATCCCCTACCTCATTTAGAATACTGTGTGCAGAATGTGCACCGTATCGCCGAATGGATGTTACTTGTTTAAAAACGGTACGAAAATTGGTGGCCAGGATGATGAAGGGCTAGCGCCAAAAGTCATGTGACGAATGCCTGCTGAGCTTAAGATTGTTCTGTCTAAAATGGTGTAGACTGAGATAGGTCCAAGATTACGCAGGTACCGAGCGGTATCAAGCCAACTGACCTCTATGAACTAGCTACATCAGACCACTTGTTAGGACATCAACTTTAGTTCAAATACCAGAGGAACAGAATAGATATCACGGTGAAAACTTTTTGCGGGGTTCGTGTAGGTTGCGACTGTAACAATGCAGTAGTAGGGCAGAAATCTTCGAAAGGGGCATAGGTAAAAGTTGACTAGATCTTTTTCCGAAAGTACTGTAAAGTTAGTAAATCTTCCTGCTAGGACCTTGCGGCGCATGAAACATGGAAAGTACAAAGATTGCCTCTGTTCTTGTTCCACCATTTTAACGAAAAATAATCATAGGTCGAATTACCGAGTGTCTGAATTGATAGCAAGAGAAAGGACGTGCATTAAGCGCGGAAGTCTATATCATCTTTGGAACGTGACCTGACGGGACATTTGACGCTGTCCTGTTAGCAGAAAGCAACTGTTGCTTGCTGAGGCGGGAATGTTTACCCAAATGAGACCTGTGCATAATGTTCGTTTTCCAGTTCACACAATCTTCATCTCTGATGATGTCCTTTTAGCCCACCCAAGGTGGGTATATTAAATTGCTGTAAACGTACCAATCTGGGTGCATAAGCCTCATTTTGAATTGACTTGAATGGAAGTGATTGCAGTTATTTTTGATGTTTCTGTAACTTGAAGTGTCCGCAGTTGTTTTTTACGCACTATATATATATATATGTATATACAAAATGTGTACGGGTATTGTGCCATCGGAACCATGGCGGAATAGGAAAACAAGGTTAGAGTAAAAGAAAGAAAACCGTAAATTTTTTGTCAAGTTCATACTCAGTTTTGAGGGAAGGGGATCACTGCAACAAGCAGAGATACACGCCCGCCACTGAGTTCGGTTGTGAGCCATGATTTCTAAGGTGTCCAACCAACTGCACTCAGCATCCTTGGGACCCCTTCCAGGGAATCGGTAGAAACCAACCGTAGCCAGCTGTTTTGTCAGCTTTTTCATCCTGCTTTTCCAAGTTGTAGGCTGTCCACCACACCGCCTCCTCCAGCCCTGTTCAGCGACCGCGAACAAAGCACGACGCGGAAGACGCTGAACGGGCATACGCAGTACGTGTCCGAGCCATCGTAGTTGGCGCAGCGAGATAAGTGCCTCGAGGGAGTGGCCGCCTCTACGCAAGACACGCTGTCTGACTTCACCGTTGGTTACATGGTGTAGTCACCACACACGGTCGATAGACCGCAAGCAACGGTTCTCGAAGACAGACAATCGGCGCAGGTCATCGGTACGAACAGGCCAAGTCTCGAAACCACACAACAGTACAGCGGGGACAGTAGAACTATAAACACGTCCTTTGATGGAGAGACGGATGTCATGTTGGCGCCATAAATGCTTCAGCCTTGTAAAGGCTAGACGAGCTATTGAGATA